GAAACCAGCCAGCAGCGTGAATAACCCCAGCATCCCTCGTCCCTTAAATGCGGCCACCTGTGTTCCTCTGTACCTCCCACCATCCACTCACAGAGGGATTTTCTTCTTTTCTTCTTTTTTTCCCACTCCTGGAGCCAGCGTCTCTTTGCTGGCAGGAGGAGGAGGAGGAGGAAGGCAGCCTTGGCTCTCTTGTTTAAACAAAGCCATGGCTGTGCTGCAACCTTGGGAAAAATCCAGGATAGATGGGGTTATACGGCGCATCAATCAACCTGTGCTGCGGCGTGAGCCGAGATCGTCACCGGGTGGAACGGTCATGACAGTCACCTTTGTCACAAGGGAGGGAACTGGGACAAGGCTGGGCAAGAGGCTGGGGACTCTTGCTCACCTCTCGTGGTACCTCTGGCCATGCTAGGTCTCAGGAGGCAGAGCCTGGTCGATGCCAGCTCTAGGGTTGATTTCCCATTACTGGGGTTTTACTCTGCTCCCTTCTTGCAAACCAGACCCCTTACCTCTTACCCCATTGCCCTTCAACCTCATCCTGGCTCCCACCTCCTTGCAGGGAGTGGATGTGGCACAGGGGCATCCGTGTAATATTTTCACCCAGTTTCATCCAAAATCAAGGCTGAAGCAATGGGATGAGGTGCCCAGGACTGATGCAGAGCTGCTGTAGGTCCACAGCTCCGGGGTTGGAGGTGCTGGCCTGTTATGACTCCAGCGCAGGGTGCTTGATTGCAGGGTGGGAACGGCAGCAACCTGGCCTGGCTGTGGCCAGGAGGGCCGCAAGGTGGGCACGACGAGCTCTTGCAAAGTCCACCTCAAGCAAAGAGATGACAGCAGTGCTTCAGGGGCTTGGGAACACGTCAATCCCCCCATGAACACGGGAGAGCTCAGGGTGCCATCGGGAGGAAGGGCTGGGTGGGAGCGAGTGGGGCTCCAGGGAGCACGGGTGGCCGGGTGCTGTCCCCGACCCACTGGATAACACTGGGGACATCTGCCACCGGCTGCAGGAGGGGAGAGCACGAACCGGCTGTGCATCAGATGTACTGAACTCCTCAAGTGAGAGAGGCTTTGCTGGTTTTATTACTATTTTGCTTTTAACCTTACAAATCTGGGAGGCAATCCCACACTGGAAACACTTCCCAGATTCACATTTGTGATCAGGAAAAGGTACAAAAATCTCTTATTTTATCCCCTCCTCTCAATTTCACCCTAAAGCTCTTTTTTCCCTATTTTTTTTTCTTTTTTTTTTTTTCTTTTTCTGTTTCTTATTGTCAAATTCCGGGCTGTTTCTGTCCCAGGAGGGTGAGCACCAACCAGTCCTAATGTTTCCAGCAAGGGAAGGGGCTGGTTCAGAGAAAAGGGCAGAGGTGGCCTTGGGGAAGTAACAAAACACCCTTCTGTTCTGGAGCCTCCGCGGGGCTGTGCTTTGGTTTGAGAAGAAAAAATCTGCCTGCAAAAGACGACTGTGACTGCGTGGTGGTGGCCAGTGCAGCCGGAGTGTGACACTGGTGGGGAGGAGGATGTCGGTGGGGAGAAGGCTCCTGGCTGCAGATGATGGGGGGTTCTGGGCAGCATGGCACCTGGTCCTCGACCCCTCATCCACCTCCGGAGCAGAGATGTGTCTGGCCTGACGGGTGACGAGTGGGCAATCTCTGCTGGGGGGTGTTTCTGGCCAGTGGCCACCTCCCACCTTGCAGGCAGACACAGCTTCATGAGGGACCTGTTTCTGCTTGGTTTTTCTTATCAGAAAACATATGGGGATGTTTTTGCTTCTTTAAGAGAGAAAACAGACCAGAAACTTCTCTTGCTGCAGCATCGCAAGCCTCTTGGAGCCATGCTGGAGCCTGGGGACTCCCCGATGGGTCCGTGGTGGGGGCATTCCCCCTGCACACAACTGGCTCTGTCCTGCTCCCTGAGGCTGGGCTGAGCTTTGCTGTCGGGTTGAAGGGGTGGGTTTGCCCCCAAATGGAGTAAACATGGGGGACCCAGAGCCTTCTCTTCCCTCCAGCCCACCTTTTCCGAATCAGGTGGATGCTGCCCCTGGGCAGAGGAAAGCACCACCCCAGAGCAAGGGTTTGGTGTCCCCCAATGTGGGGACAGGGCTGACGGCAGGCATAGCCCAACTAGTCCCCTGCCTAGAGCTAGGCTTTAATACAAGGGCTCAGCCCAAGGCACCCTGCTCCTGGGGTACGGATGGCTGCAGGGATGGGGTGCACTCCCTTGGGGCATCCTTGTGGGTGACACCCACAATGTCCTGGTGTCCCCAAAGCCGGCTGCGACAGAGACCACATCCAGTGGCATGGGGACAGCTGTGGGATGGTGACAGCAGAGGGGATATGAGGTCCTCCATGTTCCCCAGGGCCACCCACCACCTCAGTCCCCCTGCAGCCAGGGTGGGAGGTTTGATTTCGCCCCCCTCACCCGCTGGGGTTCCTGCACTTTGAAATGCAAACCTGCCTTTCAATGCAAATGCTGCGAGAGGTTGGGCCCAATAAAAGCCTGTGGGCAGGGAGGTGCCTGGCCCCAGGACACAGCTCCCCAAGGCGCCCAGGTGAGCAGCAGCGAAGGAGGGGCGGCCGCTTCCCCGCCAAACCAAACCCGGCCGCAGTCGGCGGCACGGCGGCACAGCATGTGCGCAGAGCCAGCCAGGGAAGATGTATGTAGGTTATCTTTTGGATAAGGACACCAACATGTATCCCAGCCCTGTCCGGCATCCCAGCCTCAACCTCAACCCCCAGAATTACGTGCCGGGGCCACCCCAGTACTCGGACTTCGCCAGCTACCACCATGTGCCGGGGATTAACAACGACCCGCACCACGGGCAGCCGGCGGCTGCCTGGGGCTCTCCCTACACCCCTGCCAAGGAGGACTGGCATTCCTACGGGACCACTGCTACGCCTTCCACCGCCAGCCCGGGGCAGTTTGGATTCCGCCACCCAGATTTTAACCCCATCCAGCA